TCTCTAATTGCAACACTCTCTAAATGCATGCTTTGAAGCTGGTCCCCAGAGGTTGCATTTATGGAGAGTTGACTGTATTGTTATTTTAATTATATATTTGATATTAAATATTAAATAAAAGCTTATTATATTTATTATTATAGTATCAGATTATAATTGGAAACATTTTGAACAATCTATTATGAGCTTTTATACGAAATGTGTTTACGCAGCATCTAGTAGAGCTAATAATTCTCAAGTTTTAACTCCAGATGATGAAGAATTAACATGGATGCATACTGAAGGCTTGATTTGTCATTTACGAGGAAATCATAATAAATGTTGGCCTGAAGTTTGCTGGATCGTAGAAAATCCAGATCTGAGCTTATCAACTCCAAATTTAATTAGTGCAGATGAAAATCAATGCAAACGATTATTAGAATTTCTCAAGAAAATTATGAAACCTAAAGAACATCAAAGCTTAATAACAACAATACGTACTAGTTATAATGAAGCATTTAATCGTTTAAAGCTAAATTATACAGAAAAGAAAATAGATTATCCAAAATCATTTCGAGCTCGTCATGCACTTTCAATTATTCACAACAATAATGGTTTTGTAGAACTTCAACATTCAGTTCGTGAAGCAGGCAATTTGATTAGTTTTTCAAATCAGGACGAGAAGAACTTGCTTGGTATCCGGAAATATAGAGAACAAAAAAGAAATGTTAATATTGAAACAATTAAATTACGTAATGATAAAAGAATTGAAAAATTATCAATCAAAAAAAACAATTAGAAGGTTTTGATTACTCGCAGGTAATATGATAATTTATAATAATAGCTAAATATAGTTTCTAATTTTATTTTACTTTTAAAGGATTTAGTTCCATATGGTTTGCGAACTCAAGAAGAACTTCTAAACAGCAAATTTGAACCTTCCTTTGCTCCATTGATAACTGCATTCAAGTCATTATCTCTCAAATGTGTGGCATGTCAATCTTTTCAAAAAAAGTTCACTAATGGACTGTGTGCACTATGTGGTTATCTATCAAAGCACAACTTATTTAATCACATACCGAATATACAATATCAACAATTAATATCTGAATCGAATTGGGAACTTAATATAGATAGTATCATTACTGAATTTTTTGGATTTGAAGAATATCGTGAAAAACAACGAGAAAGTATATTATCTTTTTTATCAGATCATGATACGCTAACCATATTAAAAACTGGTGGAGGCAAGAGTCTGATTTATGCAACTGTAAGTATATTATCACGAAGATTAACTATAGTATTTACTCCCCAAAAGGCATTAATGGATGATCAAGTGGTAAGCTAACAATAATTTTCAATAAATTAATATATATTTATTTAACAATTCTTTTATTTACAAAGCGAGAAATGGTAGGGATGGGAATACCAGCAGCAATGTTATATGCTTCTTCAGAACAGCCACTCCTAGTACAAGAAAAGATCTTTGCTGAAATTGCAAGTGGATTAATTCGTATATTATTTATTACGCCAGAAAAGTACATAAAAAATGCCAAATTTCGCATTATGTTAAAAAATATTTATAATACTCGAGGCCTTCAGTTCGTTATTGATGAAGCACATTGTGTGGTTCTTTATGAAGGATTTCGGTAAGTTTGACCATGCAAATTTCTTAATGTTAACAATAATTTATACTTACAAACTCTAATATATAAAAGAAATGCATGGAGGGAATTA